CAATCTGGGAGTGCAGATACAGCTGGAGCGTATTGCTGTCTACTCATCTCAGGCTGCATGCAGTAGCAGGCAAAATTGAGACTACAGTCAGTGAGATAGGCTGGAAAGCACATTCATACATTAAAAAGGACCCGGCTGCTCCTCCTGCAGCTGCCATTCCTTGGGGCTGCCTAAATTACAAGCGTGATTAATACGGTATCAAAACGTGTGTAGTCCCTCTCCCTCTAGACACTAATATAAGGCAAGCAGTATTGTGTCACTGGGGCATCAAACACTAAAGGTCTACTAAAGAAGATTCCTATGTATTACTATTATCATATTATTATTTAAAAAACCCTATTGTTATTGTTAAAAAAAAAAAAAGACACCAACTAACCAACCCACAGCCCTTGCCCCAAGCAGCTTTTGCGCTGTGAGACAGAAAGGTTTGTGTGCTAAAAGCAGAACTTTGCTTTTACACCCCAGGGCCACATCCTTCCACGTCGCAGCCTCAATGTTACATGCAGGTGAAGGAGCTTTTGTATCTGATTTCCTTGTTCCTCATACATGGAAAGGAAGCCGATCAAAACAGAAAGGGACATGGGTGTGCAGTTGTGGCCCGGAGCACTGCTGGCACAGGAGCAGTGTCTGGGGAGGAAGGGATGGGGGCTTGGTGGCTCTCCCAACCTGAAGGCTTGCATGAGTGTGGATGTAGAAACAGAAAGATTTACTCTATTCCTGGGCTTTTTGACATTCCCAATGTAATTCTCAGTGCTACGGGCCTTTATATGGGATAACTTGTATATATTGCTTAGGAAGTTCTTATAAGGGGAGTCCTGAGGCAAGCCAGTATCATCTTCTGGTCTTCTATGAGATGAATTTTTCGCAAGGCCATAGCAGCTGCTATTCAGCCAAGAGGAGGACCTTCTGGTTGAGAAACAAGAAAACCCCACCTCAGTGCTACCACCCGGGTGCCCACCTGGCCCCAGCGAGGCATCTGAACCTGACCCCACGCTTCCTCCTCTGGCCTTGGCAGGACTGAAACCTCAGTGTCTCTTTTAACGCTTTCATTTTGTGTTTCGTAATAATGTTGTTGTGACCCCAATGGTCTGAGGATATAAAGGAAATGAGGCTTGCAGTAGCTCCCTCCTGAGAAAAGAAGGAAGAAATACATCTTTCCTTTCTCTTGGGTAACAGTAAGGAAGGGGAGCGCTTGTATCTGCAGCAGTGCTCTGGCTTTTCAGGTAGATTATACAAACTTGTTCTAAAAATTCAATTTAAAATCCTAAAAATCAATTAGAAATGTAAAAATATATCTATTTATCTGTAAAGAGCAATGGCCCCGCAGAATTTGTTTGGATCTATTAAGCAGCATTTGAAACAAAACACATTTTTAGAAAACCTGATCTATCTCATAGTCTGACTAAAGAACTGTAATGGCTTTCTGAGCTGAACAGGATTTGTTCTATTTTTTCAGCGAGTTCCTTGATATTTTTGTTCTAAAAATTATTAATAAGAAAATGAGTCAACAAGGAAATTCACATACAAAATCTGCACTGGAGTAACATTAAAGTCTCTTCCCAAATGTTGGGAAATGCGACTTATGGCTAGTGCTCTGTTCTTATGTCTCAAGGTCACGTTGGGAAAGGCCACCTGCATGGAGCTTGCAGCATCTCCGGCCACATCTCTTGTCACAGATATCTCAGGCAACTTGAGCTCCCTCTTGGCAGGGAGCGTGTCAGGGATTACCCCATCCCACAGGTGGAGTCATCTGTAGAATTTGTGTCCACATGAGCATGGGCAGCTTGGGAGCAGTTCAAGATAGCCTGCTGGAAATTGGGACCTTCAAGTGCTCTTCAGCTCTCCTGTGTTCACACATAGCATGGCCTGAAGCTTCTTTCCGCCCTTTGGGGTCTGACAAAAAATAAGAAACCAAACAGGAGGAATAGGGGAGCAAAGACAGCCCAAGAGAGGCTCAGCAAAAGGACAAAGTTGGCCTGCATGTCATTTTAAGAGTCTTTATGTGGGACTGCCTTATGAGCAAAGTAAAACCAATTTATTTCTTTTAACCTGGTGGTTAAGACTTCTGGGGGGAGATTATCACCAGGAGCGTGTGATATAAGCATTGGGAAATCGAGGGACTGAAAGTGAAGGCTTTGCAAGGAGCTTTGCTGATAAAGAACAAAACCTTTAGTTAGAGCAGGCTCTGTTCCCATTCACACAGCCTTGAATCATTTCTTTGAAATAAGAGCATTATTTGGAATCAATTCTGGCATAAAGTTAACCCCAAAATCCACGTCAAGCCTTTTTGCCAGGATGAACGAGAAGTGGTGATTTATGGGATGGCTGTGGTCGAAGGGGTCAGAAGTTCTTTGAAATGATGCTATGGATCAGAATGCAACATTGCTTATCTCTTCCAAACAATTCTTGATGAAATTTGTAGCAGTAAGATACGATCTATGCTGTACAGATATAAAACTTGTTTTCTGTGACTGGGGGACAGAAGTAAAACATTTTAAAGCTACAAGTCAGGAAATCTTTATAGACTTTGGTCTAAAGAGGGGAACAATTCTTCCTATGCAGTCCCTAAGGAGGTAAAGGACTGCAATGTAGCAAACTTACAGTGGACACAGTGGAACTATGTCTCCTCAGGACACACTGGCATTACCTGTGTTAGAGGGTATAACATCAGCTGGGCAAGAGAAAGAACTGGGAAATGCACATTCAAATCAGAGCCAACAGAGCTTCAAATTTAGGACACAATGAAAACTATATTCCACTTATATTGTGCCTTGAAGTACTATTGGCTTTGTCACCTATATTTAAAGACCAGGCAAATATCTCTGCTGTAATAGGATCACACATCATCACCCTCATCCTTACATGGAGCATTCTGTGCCAGATTTCCAGCAGGTCTCAAAAAGCAGTTGCCAAAAATAATAATAATAATAATAATTAATAATAATAAAAAAGATTGCAAATGCTTATTATCTCTGATTTGGTGAAAATCTTGCTCTACCTGAAGGAATCTAACCTTGCAACACAGCAAGGCCAAGTCTGCACAGTCTACAGCCATTTTACACTCCTTTTACTCCCCCATTCCTTGATCCCATGTGGAGCCCTGCATGTTAGTCCGAGCACTACCAAAGGGTGGTTTTACCTCCTGTCTGTAAGCTCACAGATGCACCCACATCTTCCCAAAGGCTAAAATAGTTTGGGTTTCACCTGGCTGCTGCCAAGCAAACAGGAAGAGGAAGTCATGATTCTCCCTTCAACCGAAACAAATCAATGTTTAACCTCTGAAAGGCCACGCAGAAATTAAGCTGTCACCTAAATATCCTCACAAGCTGTTGGTACAACATGGGGAGATAGTGGAGAAATGGGGTTTACAATCAGATACAGCCCTGGCTATTGCAAAAAAACCACACAGGATTTGGGCTGTAGGTACACAGGAGGCATCAGAGGCACAACACTGTTTGTCCTAGGCTTGGAGACAGATCCCAAAACACACTTTGATCCATTCTCTTGCAAAAAAAAAAAAAATCTCTCTATCCATGTAAAAGATCACTTTGTGGCTTTTTTTTGGTCCCAAAAGAAATACTGAGCATCACTTTTCCCCTCACCCTCCTCCAGCTGAATATACTGCTGGAGTTCCTGATAGCAACACGATGATCCTTCCAAGACAAACAGAAACAACACAGTGGGGCAGATTTGGATTGGCACAACTTGTGGGCACACACAGTTAAGAGGCTTCTGAAAGTTCATGAAGAAACAAAGAAGTACCTCTTAATTCAGCTCAAGAGATCCAAACAAGCCAAAGGATGTCCAGAGAACAGGGGTGTGAGATTCTCGCCAGGGCAGAAGAAGAAAGGGAGGATATTCACCGGGCATAAGTGTGTGCAAAAGTGTTCAGGCACAATGCAAACTGTAAGAAAAGGGCCTGCTCTGACCAACAGGAATTCAAAAGGATGGAGCTCAGCACTTAACTTGCAGCAATGCGGGAACTGCAGCGTCTTGCATATTTCCCTTCGGACTGCTGTTGCTGTGACTCCGCAACAACCCTGCTGGCCGTAAGAACAGTTTTACACCATGGCAGCCCTACGGAGGGGTTGCCTTTGGTTCGCCATTGCTTCCAAAGCACCTCCAGGGCATGTCAACGGAAGGAGAGAGATAATTGAAGATAATACATGGTTTAAAATATAAAATTCCAGCCACACAGTCACTTATTCTCCTTCTCTGTCTTATTTCTATGTTCCCTGGGTTGTCTCAGCTCTTGCATTCAAGCTCGTATTCATGAGTTTTTCATTTTCCTCAGCTGTTGGACAAGGAGAATTTCCAAACCATGCTGGTTCAGAACATTCCCCTAACCTGTCCTACTTGGAGGCCACAACATCTGTTTATACAAATATTCTAGCCACTGTCCCACTCCTCCAGGGACATGCACAAAATTTTCATGTATTATTTTGGAACTCTCCCATCTTTCTGACTGTTAATGGCGAACCACAGAGTAATATCGCTCCAGCAATTTTCATGCGACCTAAAATCTAAGCTAGAAACTGACACGTGTTCATTCTGCGACTCCAAAATACTGAAAGGTGTAATCACCAGTGCCACAGTTTGGCAACTGCCATGTGACACTGCTCAATACCACTTGATGTGACCTTCAAAAGCCCTGGCCGGGTGATTTATTCCTGCCCCACATCTCTAAACATTCAGAAGAAATGCAAATTGCCTATCCTGCACCATGAAAGAATTTCACCTAAGGATCTTAGAAAGAGAGTATGAAAGAAATCCGGACTTCACGGCTCCAGTTCGCTCACCACCGTGACCTCTTCCACTCCCGCAGGCTTGGGTCTGCTCATTGCCCCCCCAGAGTAAGCTGCAAGAAAGCATCCGGCAGCTAAGGATGTCCTAGATGGAGGAAACCCTTAGCTGTCCATCTCCTTGAGAAGTTCGACACGAGGACAGCTGGAGCGGGCAGCTGCCGGGACTCGGCCATGGCTTGAGGCTGCACGGGGCCCTCACTGCCGGGGGGCTGACCAGCCCATGTCACTGAAGGGTCCCTCGCCCGTGGCCGACCTGGGAGGAGGGCCACAGGGTGTGCAGAGGTCAGAATCGGTGTCCGATTCCCCTTCCGCAATGTAGGGTCTGATTTTGGCCACGGCCGCATAGCAACCGTTGTTAAGGATGTCCAAATTCTCTTTGGACTGGGAAATACTAAAGCCGCTGAAAGAGCGCTCCAGTTCCTCGTGGTCTACCGAGGGGATGGAGATGGACGTGTCGCTGTCTCTCAGGGCGCTCTCGTGGTGTTTGGTGGTAATGTCTTCGTTCCGCAGGTACTCTGCGCTCGCCCTGTGCCCGCCGCTGTAGGCTGACAGGGAGCGCTCGTGGGAGGGCGGAGGTGGGATGCGGACGAGCGAGCCGGGGTCTCCGACGGGCGAGGAGCCGTGACTCTGCCGCTGGTAGGGCTGCTGCTGGCACGACGTCGAGGGCGGGCACGAGTTGGTCGGGGCCGGCGGAGCTGAGAAGTTCTTCTGACCCATGGAGCTGGTGGACCTGATGATCTTGATGATGCAGCCGTTCTTGTCGATGTGCTCCCTGCTGTCCTCGGGGCTGTGGTAGGGAGGGGCTGGGTCTGGCTCTTTGGAGCCGAAGTAGGCCTCCGTCTCCGTCGGTGGGATACCCATTCTCTGCATGTAAATGTTCACCAGGAAGTCCAGCTTCTTCTCCATCGACTGAACCTGCAAAACACCACATTCCAGCACTACATCCTGAGGATGAGCAGCTTCCAGTCCACCAAGGTACAAACGTGGGCCTGGACTTTACTGCCTACCAACCTACACCAACGCGGAACTTTCAGTACATATTTGTCATATTCTGAAACAACCTTTAATTCTCCTCCTCGTTACTGTGACTCCTTCATCTCCTGTGATCTCTCTGTCACGCATCAAATTCCAGGAAAGCTGAAGGACACTTAAATCCTTCCCCCATCTCTCACTTCCTTGCTGCATCTGGCCCTTGCCTGGGCTCAGGTGCTCAGTGGGATTTCTGGGTCTCACTCTCTGGGAGGATTTCCATGCTCAGCAAGGCTGGCAGCTGCAGCAGCCAGGCTCATGGGCTCGTCTAACAGAGTGGCACCGTGCCACCTTCAAAAACAGATTTTTGGTAGACTCTTCAAAAAAGAAACAGAAAGCCTGTAAGAAACAGACTTCTAAATGCCTGAATCTGTTCTGAGGCTTTGAAGACATTTCACGGCCTTTCATAAAACCCATTGCTTCCTTTGCAAAACATTGTTTGCTCTTAGTTTTGCTTCCAAATGATCATATCCAATTGGAATGAAACAAACAAACAAACAAACCCAAACCCCAAACAACACCACAATGCAGGTAATACCCATTGACAGGAACCCTTCACACCCCAACGTACCTGTTTTTCAACTTTCCCAAGTCTGCCCATCATGCTGGGGTCTTCAGGCAGCTCCCCCTCGGCTGGGCCTTTGGTCCGATCCTTGTCGGTCATGGAGGATCCTCTCCCAACGATCTGGTCAACTCTACCAGGATCAGAAAATCCCCCCACCCCCGGAAAAGGACTGGAGTCAGTCGGAGGCAGCAGGCGAGGGGGCTTTGCTCATCGCGCCTCTGGGGGATAAAGCAGCAGCCTTTCTCCCCGCTAGCACTCCAAATTACTCACAGACACGCAGTGGCACTGAAGTGTTAATTCAGATGCAAAATTCAGAGCAGTATTAGCAGAGTTTGAAATTATCCGTTTCTGTTTATACAGATAAAATCTGGCACATTATGCACAGTAAATTTACCCGCTGCAAAGAATCGCTGTAGCTGGCTTTCTTCCAAATCAATTAGCTTTTTATTTGCACTGAGGCCGTATTATTTTGGGGGAAGATCAAGTTTTCTGTCTAGCATATGTTGGTGGGATTGTTTTTCAGTCTTTGCAGAAGTCTCTTCTCCTCGATGCAAATGTAGGCGCGTAATTCTCATGTCCATGAAAACGAGCCCCTTGCCCTCAGATCCAAACAAACAGCTGTGGTACTGTTTTAGTGGAATTATGCTGAATTTGGTCATAACGCACCAAGCAATACCAAATTGCCTCCATCTCAGTGCTGCTGCAGCTCTCACCTGTATCATTAGATGTTTTCTATTAGCAGGGCTCCACACTGTCAACATCAGAGGACGTTCTTGCAGCATGTGCAGCTAAAGCTACTGGGCACACTGTTTGGTGACAAGTTATTCACACACGTTACATTTGCACTTTCTCCTTCCCAGTCCAAAAATAACTGGGTTCATAAACACCTCAGGAAAGAGGAGAGCAGAGCCAATTTGGAAGCTGGAAGTCAATTATCTGATCCCTCCAAAGCCAGGGAAGCAACCCAGTTTTGGAATGGGTTCTTAATGGCAGCCTGGTTCATAATACAATTCTATGCCAGGCAAACTTTACTCTTGCATAATGCACCAAAAGTAAGGGTGGCAAGGGAAAAGAAGGGTTAATTAATCTGACTGAAATCAAGTTGAGGTATCTTGAGTGGAAAACTCAAAATGCTTCTTACGCAGTTCTGCTGTGTGGGCCATGGGTCCATGCACCAGGAGGAGGAAAAGGAAGGAGCTGAACACAGACAGACGGGAAAATGAACAAACAAAAAACAAGGAAAGGAATGAGATGTGAGGCTATTTCCAACACAAGAGCCATCTGTTTTCTTCACACGTGACAGGGACTTAGTATGTATGTTAGCTGTTGACGTAAAGGGACAGATATCAGTGGGAATAGACCAACGCAGCTCCCTTGGGTTATATCAAAGCGACAGCAGTTTGCAGCACCAGAAGATCTGGCTCAAAGGGATGAAGTGGGTGAGCACATCACACCAAAGACAGAAAATATAAGCCAACCATTGTTTTGGAGTTTATCTTTGATCCCAGAACATCCTTCATTTGGGCAAGGATGCGACAAAATGCCATTCAATTTAAAAAGTCATGTTTGATCCTTTGCTTAGCAACATAAGCACAGCAGTGCAAGGAGCACCAAGTGCTGTAATTACAAGTGTGAGGAATATGCATGCCTTATTTCTCTCTTGTAATGGGAGAAGCAAATTATTGACACGTACAGGAACTCCCAACAAGGGATGCAATTACTGACACGACATACAGCACAAGAAATCCTACAACAACGTTGCTACCATGTAAGCAAAGAGGTATTAAATCAGATACCTCGGGCTACCTTGGTTTGGAATCACAAGTCAAGGCGTAGTACAGCCACTGTATGAACTCCTGTCCTGTATGCACAAGCAAGTAAACTAGTAAAGCAATGAACATGCATTTTTAAGAGGCTCAAAGCCTAATTGCTACCGAATACTGGGGAAGGCCAAGAAAGATCAGGGTACTCTGCCACATCTAGCACAATGCTAACACCAAAATGTGTGTACTAGTGAAAATGAAATGTCCTTCAACAGCTGGGGAGTAGAGCAGGGAGGCAGGACAGTAACACCGAGGAAAACCAAACACGGCCATCTTACTGTATATTGTAATAGCAGAGAGAGTCTCTTGCAACCTTATTTCTAATTTGGCAGAATTTGAGGAAGGACTTCTGCTTTCTTTCACATCTTTAAAAGATAAGCTATCCAGTAAGTGAGCCTCACAGGACCCAAGGGAAGTACAGGTTGGGTGTACTTCACAGATGGAGTGATCAACCACCCCACACAGAGAAGCTGTGTGGCGGGATACAACTTCCTATAGACCTGCTGTGATTCGTAAGCAGAGCTTCACAGAACTCATCCATAAGGCATTCAGAAGCCCTTGCATATCCTTGATAGCAGAGCCTGACAGAACTCCTGTCAGGATCATTCCGTTCCCAGCTATGCCACGATCCAGCCGTAACATCTTCTGCAGCCCTGAGAAACCAGAGCCTGATGTCACCTTAGTCTCATGGACGTTGGGGTGCTGGCAGCTGTGGAACACTGGCTTCAGTGCAGAAAAAGGTGAAGTGAGCCCTGGTGCCTGGTAGGAGAAACCAGGCTCAAGATCACTCATTCCTTTGCTCCTCATGGCAGAAGCCAGAAACCTGTGGAGAGTGCTCCTACCCTCAGCAAAATGGGGAATTTTCCTTCTGCCTTGTCTGATAAAAGAGGAATTTCCTCTTGAGAACCCAACGGTGCTAAGGCAATCTCATCTGAGCACTGCAAAGGCACAGTCATTAGCAAAGGGCAGGTGGCCCTTCTAGCCACTCTGAAAGAGTTTGTCTTATCCAAACCGGGCAACAAAGCTCAAAAGACCAAGAATGGATACATTTCACCTTTGCAAGCGGTGAGGAATAGTGTATATTCTTATGGCATGACAAGGGACCACGTATCTTCCCAGAGATGCCAAACCCCCTTCTGCACTACATCTCACGGGCAACCTTGTGCATTCCCAACATTATCTTGGCTGTGCTGAAGACACGTGTGCAGAGGGAAGCCCTCAGCTGGGGCTTCAGAAGAGGCAGACCCACGCTCTTCCCTTCACAGCAGAAGATGATTCCAAGATTTCTAGCGATGCATGACAAGCTGTGCCATCTGCTGCCTGTGACACGCTCTGCTGGGTCTTAGTTTGGGAGGGGGAGAGAAGGGCGGTTGCTCTTTGAAGTGAACTTTGATATCTTTCCTTCTTTCTCATGATATAAAAAAAATGTAAATTCTTGCATCAGCCACAGTGCAGGTTTTCTCATGCTTCATTATGCTTCCATGCTGACAGTACATGCAAAGAGGTGTAATATGTCACCCTTGGGCCAGAAGCAGACATCAAAAGGTCAAACGGCTCAAATGAGATAAAAATGAAGTGTTTGGGAATATATATTCAATTACTTTCTGTTTTCTTTATCTGTTTTAATTATATTTCTTTTAACACAATCCAGGCATTGAAGCCAAACCCCCTTCATCCATGTCACGTGACTGCTCCTTACCTCCCCATTTTTCAATCAAGTTCGCTCTAGACGCATTTTGACCAATATTCTGTTGCCTATGAATTCCAACTGAATTGCAGCTATTTCAAAACAGGTCTACCTTAAATCAGCCACTGGGAGGAATTAAACCCAATTCTCTGTGTGGGCAACATTTGGCTAAAACAGGGATGTGCTGAAAAGGAAGAGCAACAGCTAAGCCTGACCCAGAGTTTGGACCTCCCCGCCTTGCGCCCATCCTACATGCAGAACATTCGTTTCCACGTGGAAATCTTGCCCAGCCCTTCAAGGCTGGTTGCATCTAAAAGGTTAATGGAGCAAAATCCAGTTGAATCCCTATTTTTTAATTTCATATCAAAACATTGGTCCAGATAAAAGATTTATTTTGTTTTTAAAGATTAGTTTGGGCCTCATCATTTGAGGGAGGGAGAACTGGAGAAAAAATGCTTTCCTGAAAGCATCTTTCTTTTTTTTTTTTCCCAAGCATGAATTTTGGGGCTCCTGGAAAATTCTCTACTTATTTTACTTTATTTTTGAACCTGCTGAGTGGGAAAGGTAAGCTTTCAGTATTCTCTTTACTCACATCCTGCTTGTGAAGATTACTCAGAGCAGCTTAAATAAAATTCAAGAGATTTGTCATGTATTAGCACTTCAGGAGGGCAAGTATATTTAGAAAAAAAATACCTGAGGCTAAGCTCACTGTGTTTGAAAATCACCTACTGTTTGCACATGGAAAATGGCTTTCTAGCAAATATTTCTACCTGCCTTGAGCTCTAGCAGTCTCAATGGTGAAAATGCAGCTATCTGCTGCCCAGACATGAGAATGCCCCAAAATGAGTGGCTTGGTGGAAAGATGGTCCTCACAGCATCAGCTATGAGCATAGCTCTAACTAATGTGAGAACTTAATAAGGGCAACAAAAAAAAGTATTTCACTGAGTGGCTACAGGCTGGATTGGGCTCTTTTTGCAGACCAGAGCAGGACCTTTTTCTGAATATGAGTCTTATGGTGGTAACATTGCAACAGAACTTCTACTTCCATGGTCAGTAGAGCTGCATCAGCAAAAAGAGATTGCTCGGCATGAAACACTTCATTCTTAATTTGCCCACCAAGATCAACTCATTTCACAGTCCAAAGGGCCGCAAACAGAGGCTCCTCCGCTTGATCTTTCAGAAAGTAGATGGTTTGGGTTGCACTGGCTTTGTGGGTAAATATTCCACCTGTTACATTTGAAGATAGTCTGATAAAATATGAGATTTAAAAAAGCTAAATGTCAGCACCAACTTGGAGAGCCATCATAGAATCGCAGAATGGCCAAGGTTGAAAGGGACCTCAAGGATCATGAATCTCCAACCCCCCTGCCACATGCAGGGCCACCAACCTCCACATTTAATAGTAGACCAGGCTGCCCAGGGCCCCAACCAACCTGGCCTTGAACACCTCCAGGGACGGGGCATCCACAGCCTCTCTGGGCAGCTGTTCCAGCATCTCACCACTCCCACAGTAAAGAACTTCCTCCTGACATCCAACCTCAATCTTCCCTTCTTCAACTTAAAACCATTTGCCCTTTGTCCTCCCATTATCTACTTGTAAAGTGTTGACTCCCTGCCTGTTTGTAGGCTCCCTCTAGGTACTGGAAGGCTGCAATGAGGTCACCCCCACAGCCTTCTTTCTCCAGGCTGAGCAAGCCCAGCTCCCTCAGCCTGTCTTCATAGGGGAGGTTCTCCAGCCCTCTGATTATCTTTGTGGCCCTCCTCTGGACTGTCTCTAACAACTCCTTGTCTTTCTTGTACTGGGAGAAGACTGACAACAGACCAGCTGAAGAAACTGATGGTTACCAATGATGGTAGGTATGTCCTTTTTTTTTCCTTTGGCTTGCCTAGTGTGAAAGCTCATTACTGCAAGTAAATCAGATCATACTCAGAGTAGCAAGCCGTTCTGAGTCACGATTTAGCAAGCTGCTAAGTGATAAATGCCGTCATATAACTGGCATGAAAGGGGTTTGACATTAAGCAAATGAAAAATCCAGAGAAAGCGGCATTTTGGTGAATCCTAACCTAGGCGAGTATTGGGGAGATTCTTTGGAAGAATACATGGGTCCTTTGGTTGGATACTTCTTATGCCGGGGAGTTGAAGGGGGCGGGGGACCCACAATCATATCTATCCTGGCAAAGTAAATAAGAGAAAAGACACCAGCAAAATGCATAATGAAGCAACACGTAGAGAAAAGTTGGTCAGAAAGTTGCAGAAAGAAACAACTGAAAAACAGAACGACAGAGAGAAATTGAAAATATATTCCGCTAGAAACAGAAGTTGCTCTCCTACCGCCTGGTTGTCGGTGAAACATTACCCACCCTGGGGTAAGATTTGGAGATTTTTGGCACCACTGCTGTTCAGGAGAATAGCCCCCACCCACCCCAGATTTAACAGATAACATGCTTTACCCTCTGGAATATATTTGCAGCGCTATTCCATCGAGACGGTTGGACATGAAACAACATACATTCATTCTCCTTTCAGTTACACTGCCAGATGATGCACCCTCAGCTAGCTCAGAAATACACGAGCTGTTGGAGTCGGTGAGATACACTGTGGGACTGTGGAACTGAATGAATGGGGGACATCCGTGGTTGGCAAGAGATGAGACACGAGACAGCATGAACACAACATTGAAAAGAGCACATCACAGACACAACACAGTGACAGAGACATTTGTGATTAAAGAGGAAAGTGCAGGTAAACCCCCCAGAGAAGTGCCTGAATGTGCTTTAATCCCCAGCCCTGGCTGTGGGACAACACAGACAGACCCATGGAGCTGAGCAGGCAGGAGAGCACTGCAGTTTACAGGACAGGAGAACAAAAATAAAAGTTCTCCAAGCCGACCCAGGACAGCCTCGCTGGGCTCCACCTATGGGCGCACTGCATTCCTAGATCCAGCTCACGTCCCAGCATTGGCCATGGCCACCAAGGCACATGCCCTGGCTACAGGGTGTCCTTTCCAGTTGGACTGGGCAGGTCATAATAGGGCATCTCTTGGTGTCCTAAGGGGCTACGCTGCCATCTCTATCACTGTTCTAGTTGGTGGGAACAGGGAAACCAGTGAAGCTACTCATCAGCTCTAGATCCCAAATCCAGATTCTTTACACGTGACTTTAAAGAAGATTCTGGTCCTCCTGACTTCCCTGCAGTGGGATGGATGGCAGTCCTAGGCACTGCAGCCTCACTGTCCCACTAGTGAAGTTAAGGGACAATTCAGTTTCATCTTTAAATGCTTCAGTTCCTTATCTCCCTAAAAAACAACAACTTTGTCTTGGCAACACACTGGGGAATGCCAATAGAACTGATGGGGACAGATGGCATTGTTTTGGGGGCTGAGCACTCAGGTGTCCCACCTGGAGCCAGTAGAGATGCCAACCCAATGGCTCACTCCCCACTGCAGAGGCAGTTTCATGTTCCAGCTTATTCAGATTGGGAAATATCAATCCCTTCCTCCTCTTCTTCCCCCTCCAGATTCAGCTGTGCATCTCAGATTCATAATCACTGAATTTGTACTGAGTGGGGGCGAGAGGCTCAGAGAGAGGAAATTCTCTGGGATATTTTAATTTTCATTGCAAGGGAGAATTTACCTTCTGACAGTAGAGCTGGAAATAGGAAATGCACAGCATGCAGCAACACTGAGAAAGTTAGCTCCACTGCGTGAGCATCAGAAATAGCAGAGTTAAAGGGTCTTTGAGAGATTAGGATGAGAGAGATTCCTCTTTTACATAAGACAAATTTCCTATTCTATTCTATTCCTGCATGCATATCTGAAAACTTTTTTTTTTTTTTTTTTTTTTTTTTTTGCAGATTTTCATAACCAAAATGGGCTGGAAATTAAAGGAAAAATTTCCCCAAGTGGCTTCCAGCAGAAGCTGGGCTGCTGCAGTCAACAAGGGAAACGCTTTCATTATACAACTGTTAAAGTAAATGGTAAATGACTCTGACCACAGACAGCTCAATGCCAAACCCTGTTTCCTGCTCTGGGTGTCCTTGTGATCAGCAGAGCTGTGACCACTTCTGCTGAACCAACAGACCTGCCTGGGATAGGGGTCTGATCATTGGCATGGAGCACAGGGGCCTTGGAAGGTGCAAATGGATGAAACTCCTAAAGAAATACCTGCAGGGAGGTGAGCTGTAGATGTCATGGGTTCTGTGTGTGGGGAAAGAGAGAAATCCAGTTCAGAACTGTCAAAGCTGTCCTGAGGTGGACAAGAGGCAGATGTAATGGCATAACCCCAGTGCTTGCTGTGCGTGTGCTCAGTCCTGCTCATCCCCATGGGTCCCAGCCACATGCAGCGATGCTTCCTCTGAACTTTCTCTTAAGGAGGAAAAAGATTAAGGTGTAGCTGCAAGGGAAAGTGTCTCTCATGGCAACATCTGTGTGATGAACAAAAAGCAGGGGCAAAGTGAAGCAAGCAGAGGGGTCTCTTGCCTGGATTGGAGGTTTTTAATCCGGGAGAGCATGTCCAGGTGGCCAGCTGAGTACTGCTCGATGACGTCCATCACATCGTAGGGCCGAAGGCTCTCCTTAAACTTGCGTTTGGAGACGAGAAATCGCATAATGCTGCAAGAGAGGGAAGGAAAAATAAAGTCCCTGACTCGTCTGGTGGCATCTAAAACCCATTGGGAGCTGGAAGGGAACCGGAGCAGATCCACACACTGTGCCCAACATGGCAATAGGAGAAGGGAAGGGGCTGGTGGGGGCTGAAGTCCTGTGAGCACCAGGGGACACCGATGACCTCCAGACTATCAGCTGGGCACGTCTCCGCTCCACACTGCTTTTGTAAATGTCAGCATTAAATCTCAGAGCGAGTGAGAGCAATTGCTTGGATGCATCCCTGCAGGGGATTTTCCTGTTTCTGCATTTTTAATTTCCCTCAGCAAAAATTCCCTTTCTGGCAGAATTTTCTGTGAAGGAGGGCAGGCCACCCAGGGGAAAAGCAGCCTGCAACACAGGCATTTCAGCATTTGCTTGGACTTTGTATTTCATTTTATTCTATCGCTTATGTTTCCAAACCTCTTTCCCCTTCTCCCTCTCTTACCACACTGCCCTGATGCTGACTTTCAGTCCTGGTGTTAAATCTTCTGTCACAAACTCACAGTTGCAGCTTTTATTCTCATCAGGAATGTCTTCTCCAGGCAGGCTTGCTTCTGAGTTTGGAAAAGCAGGAATAAAGAGCAGTGTGTTAGCATTCTCCAGTCGGGCCAGGCAGGGAAAAGACCACTAAAATCAAGTCCAACTGTTGACCTACTTCTACCATGTCCCCAAGTGTTACATCTCCAAATTTCCTAAGCATTTCCAGGAATGGTGACCCCACCACCTCCCTGTGCAGCTGTGCCACTGCATCACCGCTCTTTTGGAGCAGAAATTTTTTCCAACACCCAACCTGGCCCTCCCCTGGTGCAACTTAAGTCCATCACCTCTAGTTCTGTTGCTGTTACCTGGGAGCAGAGGCCGAGCCCCAACCTCCTTTCAGTCACTGTAGGGAGCTATGAGGTATCCCTGAGCCTCCTCTGCTCCAGACTGAACCATCCCAGTTCTCTCAGCCCACTGATCCAGCCTGTCCAGATCCCTCTGTAGGGCCTCCCTACCCTCATGCAGATCAACATTTCCTCCCGACTCAGTGTCATCTGCAAACCTACTGAGGGTGCACTCAATCCCCTCATTCAAATCATCCATAGAGATTAGCTGAACATACCTGGCCCCAATAGTAACCTCTGGGGAACACCACTAGCATCAGGTCACCAGCTGGACTTAACTCTGTTTGCCACCAAATAGGTCTGCTTAACAGGATTGCTTAATGTGGGGTGGTGAGGGAGAGGAATGGGGTTTTGGGATCCCACAGAGCACCCCAAGGCCACACCTTCGGAGTTCTGCCGCGATGCAGCTCCCTTGATGCGGAAAGCCTGCCGGGCTCTGCTGCGGTCTCCGAAGCTCCAGCTCTTGGGCACCTTGCTGGGGCTGTCCTCGATGCTCTGGTCAGCACTGGGGGACCTCCGGATGCCCTGAGCCTGTGGAGAGCCTTTCCCTTTGGTGCCAGCACCGCGGGGACTGGAGAAGACACGATCTTTCAAACTGACCTTCTGACTGTTCAGAGAAACACGTTGAAACAAAGACAAAAAGGAGACAGCAGGAGGAGTCATTCTGGAAACCACGCAGTCCTTCCCCACCAGCCATTTAGAAACCAAGAGCACTTCCAAGCAGCAGTGAGATGTAGTTTTGCTGTTGGCTTTTTAAAAAAATATATATTCATTTCGTTATTGCTTTTTTTTTTTTTTTTTTTTAAATAAAGCGTTGTAGAAATGTTTCCGCCGTAATGAGTGAAATGGGAATGATTTTTAAGAGAGAAAAAATAATATGGACTTAAACAGAAGCCCCTCGTGGGATGCCAGGGCTGGCGGGACAGAATGACGTTAACGATGAGGTCATGAGTCCTTAAATCACTGATCGGCTCCGATCATGAGCGAGGAAGCTTTTCTTTCACAACTGCCTTTCGAAGCCCTACATCCAGTAAGAGAATACCAAGAAAAAAGCCTTGGCCTTCAGTGTTTAGCTTCACTTGGAAACACTTCATTCCTGGTGCTCAGATCTGCCCCTCTTTCACTAGACTCTGTCTTTCCCCCTCCTAAAACAGAAGGTGCCCCTTATATATCTCACAGAGAGTTCATCTTTGCCCAGTCACATATGTAAATACTGAAACATGCAAGTCCTTTATATCCTATGAAGATTTAATCTACAAGCTAACTACGACCTAGCTACAGGTCTGCTACAGGCACCATCACCAGGAAAACACACAACCTCAAAATACGGCACTTAACTGCTGTTTTTCTATCAGAGTCCTATTCTGTTAACAAAGCAAAAAGATCACTCTGAGAAGAAGAGATGATCTCACCGAGAAGCAGTCTGCTGAGCCAGCTTTCATTATTTTACACATTCCGAGATCGGTAATTAAAAGCTTCAATCCAAGCAAAGAGGACAAAATTCTCACATCACGATTTCAAACCAAAAAGCGAGGATGGATCCTTACGAAAAGGCTTAGAGACAACCTTGGGGGAGCCAAACTGCAAACAGTTTGGGATGATTTGATATTCTCTGAATAGCAATGCTTATTCAAGTATACAAATAGAGGTCAGACAACCAGTGCAAGGCATTTTGCATGGAGCTCATATTTCATAAAGAAGCAGTGCAAAACTGAATAAAACTAAGGATAGCTTTTCCAATACTCTGTACCATTGCAGCAGCCACTTATCGCGCTGCAAACACTCGGCCTCTGTTTGCAGGCAGAACACTGCTAGAATTTTCATTTTCTCACTGGGTTTCTAGGGCACCAACCAAAGGTCTGTTTTTCTCCTGTCTCTCCACAGCACCACCTTGAAATTCAGAAGCAAACAGCCCTACTTGCCTTCACACCTAGCATAAGGTCCTGTAACCAGAGGATCTTTAACCAGAACTTGGCGGCTGACGTTTGAAGCAAAGCAAATCCCAGCTCCCTCCCCAGCTGCAGCACGAGACACGTGGCTTTGTCAGAAAAGGAAGAAGATGTGACTTCAAGACACGCAGGGAGCAGATTTGTTGAATAAGAAGGTGCTATTTTTACAAAGTCACTCCACACTGTGAGACACGGAACACAGACCTGGGCAGAAAGGTGCTTGGGCAGCAGTGCCCTGTGCAGGATGGGGCTGCAATCTCAGGTCGGGAGATGCAAACAAAACACGTTCACGTCAAGTTTCAAGTAGAAAAGGCAGAATTAACTCAATTAATGATTCATTTTTAATTCTGTGAAACTGCATAGACAGGTACAGGAGAATTCATATCCCTCATGTGGCGCACCTGCAAAGTGCACCTAAAAGCCAGGGGCCCACAGATGCTGAGTGCAGCTGAAAATCAGAGCGGAGCTAGGACCCCTCTGGGAGCAAACATGTGCCCCAACACCTTTCTGTTTGTAAGCCTAGATTCCTGATGCTACTGATATCATCGCACACAGCCAGACGTCAAAAGGCAGTTCTGTGTTTCGTGCATGAGAAGCCAGATTGAAACCCTATTTGCCATTCGATCCTAAAAAGGCCAATCGGATTTTTGTTTCTGTATCATGGTTGATTTTATGGAGGAACGTCCCTGGGATCTACTGTGTTTCTTCAGTAGTACCAATGCTTCGACCTATGCGGTCCTTTTTAGAAGAAGTTTTACACAAATGAGTCAGCAAAGCACCAGCATTCAGCACTCAAAGCGCCTCACTGAGCCGAGCAGGGCCTTTGCTTGGGGGCTCCTCTTCTATACCCACGAAACAACACGAATGATTCACTGAAGTCCTCCTTCTGCCATGCAGTTCCGTGACTGGGAACAACCCCTGCAATCTCCATGCAATCACAGTCTCTGCAGAGCAGTGAGAAAGAGCCCAGGAGAAACACACCCACACAGGGAGCTGCGAGCTGCCAGCCAGCCCAACATCATCATCTTCAACCTGAAAGTCATGCACGGTGACACAGCATCCCAGAGAAGTGCTATTCAGGTGGAACTCAGGCAGATGGCAAATAGCTTCAGTTCAGTGGCCAACATGACATGAACACGGGGAAGCAGGAATCCAGCCCTACACAACATGAACCAGAGCTTGTAAGGATGACGGCTAAGAGCAGTGTGAGCACACAGCACTGCTTGTTGCAGGGGGAAGGGAGAGAAAATTATGGCTTTCTGATCAGGGATTCTGGAAAGTCGTAACAGCAGCACAAGCTGTGCTTTAATTCCGGGATCTTCGCAGTAACTTTAGGTTGACATTCATTAAAAGCATATTCAGTGACCAAAAAAAAAAAAAAAAAAAAAAATTCCTTTCTACCTTCAGGGAAGATTTGTAAGACTTTCAGCTTTTGGCTTGACTTGAACAAAATATACAAACGGAACTGACTTTTTCTCTGCTGCCAGACAGAAAAATAAGAGCCCATGCTGGATGAACATGTAAGGACCCACCCCAGAGGCAGGACCCACTGCAGCCCCAGCAGCCAACAGGAGGATGCTCACTGTTTTGGCAGGCTTTGCATTTAGGCTCAGTTGTGTCCAACGCCCTCAGCAAGAAAATGCATGAGAAGTGACCTTCAGATGAGTTGCCATCCATCCTCCATAGGATGCTGGGGGCAGGAGCTCCTGCCCAAAACCCTCTGCTAAGGGGTTCAATCCACAGTATTCTATGGTATTAAATCAGTAGCTTTCAAAATGTGGATTGTAACAATAGCAGTAATTTTGGATCAATGTAAATAATCACCTATAGCTTCTCGCTGTTGACTTTAAGCTATCCCTGAGCAATTGTTTCATTCTCTTATTTCATTCTGTAGGCAGCAAACACTAGCCAAGCTGAGTTAGGCTGCCGTGGGCTCAAATCCATCACTGCATACTAGCTCAACCAGTAACAGGGCTCGTTCTCCTGAAAAAGCTATGGCCAGGAGAAAGAGGTCATCTCTTGCTGGGAAATGAGACTGTTTGTCAACCCACAGCTTGCACTGAGCTCATGGTGTCTGAAAAGAGCTTGTTAAAAGCAGGCAGCAGAGCCCAGAGTGAATGATAGCCTTTGTGGATCACTGGGGACTCCAGCAAAGAACACGTCTGTGTGTGCAATGCTCTCCATGGCTTGAGCAGAAATATCAGAGGAGCAGGCTCAAGCCTGATTCATACCCAGTGATTTCAGAAAAGCCATGGCAAAGGTGAATTCAGCCCCAAGAATGGAATTTCTAGAAGCAGAGCACAAAGAAAAGAAACAAACCAAAAAAACTAATCAGCTCATGACCAATGCCTTGATGAGTAATAGAACAGAATAGAATCATTAAGGTTGGAAAAGACCTCTAAGGTCACCTAAGTCCAACCATACGCTTACCACCAATACTGCCCACTAAACCATGTTGCTAAGTTCAACATCTACCCTTTCCTTAGGGGCCTCCAAGGACAGTGACTCCGCCACTTCCTGCCTCTCTTTCTGAGAAGAAATTCTTCCTAATAGCCAATTTAAACACCCTCTGGCACAAGTTGAGGCCATTCCCTCTTGTCCTATCAAAAATAGGACTTAACCTCTCTTCTCTTCCTCATACAAAACCACAGTGTTAGACTCGGGTTGCAGGAGGTCACTGAAATGACAGCTGGAAAGGCTGGAACCACCACAAAGGGACATCAGCTCCAGCCACATGCCATTAACCTTGGTCTTTGGTATTCTGCAGCATCTGCTATACTGTCACCCCTCTCTTTCTAAAACAAAAAGGGTTTTTTCCCAAACTGATGCTGAGCACTGGCAAAAGTCAAACTGCTCGCGTCCTGTGCCTTCCAACAATTTGCCAGCTCAGCTGCTTTGCATTTCAGGAGCAGCACAAAACAGCTAGATTGCATCTTTGAACCTGGCTGATTACTTCTTATATAAGACTTTAAAAAAAACACTGCACCAGACCCGCAATCCAGTCAAAGGCTCTGCAGATTCCTTCCCTTCCCATCATTGCATTTATTGACTAAAATCATTGGTTCAGCACATTACAATGCCCTGGCTCCTGAGGAGCTTCCTATTAATTTACCTACACCGAATTTCCCATGACTGCATCGCTGTTCACTGTTATTTTGTGATATGTATCTCAGGTTAAGCTCCTTAGCACTCAGCCTTAGATGCACTGAAGATGTGCTGGTGCCTGCCCCTAGCAGCGTGCAGCCCTAAGGCTGAGCAATCCAGACATGAACATTATTTTTACATCCCTCCAGGGTTAACATATAGTCTTACTAAAGCACAGAGTGCACAACGTTATACTCAGGATGGATGCAGGCAGTAAAGATGCCCTTGAGGCTACTCCAAAATTCAAGTGTCCTTTGGGACTGGAAGAAGCACAGTCTGTAATCCCCCTCTGCAGGGTGTCCAATGGATTGAGAAGATCCTGAGGCAACAATTTGTTTCATCCTCCCTTACCCTCACAGAACTCAAGATGGGGGAGATGAAATGAGGACCACAGCAGGAAAGAATTCAGTAGAAAATGGAGAAAAAAAACATATACTGGCTTTACCAATTCAAAATTCATGCCTAGAAAGACATGCAAGGAAGATATGAAGATCAGAGTGGCTGATTTTCCAGA